CAGATGGAGATGGACAGGGAGACAAAGCGCTGTACCTTCCGATCTTGCAATGGGAAGTATTGGAGTCTCACCCCAAGTGGAGCGATCCAATGCTCTGCCTCCACTAAGTAAGAACAATTAACTGTACTTAACTAAGTTAGGAAAATGTCACATAGACGTAATAGGCACAGGGTAGAAAAGTAGATTAGCCAGTTTGAAAGATATTTGTGGAGTGAACCATATGGCAAGAGGAATGAATAAAGGCAATAGGGAATACAAATATAACAGCTCACCTTGGATAGATGTTTGTTTGCATGGTCATCTGTTTACTCAGGTTGTTCGACAATTATATATCTATAAAGACTGTACATATAGTACACAAAAAGTACACAAGCTCAATTGTGCTCAATAAGACCAGAAATGTACATTACTAAATGTGATTAGTTTTCATGTTGATTCTTAAGAAACTGACTGTTTATCCCAGATCCCCCAGTTGTTTCTTTGACCTTGAGTGGAAAGGGTCCAAAGTCGCACTGAAGGCCAGTAATGGTAAATACGTGGCAGCCAAAAAGAACGGACAGCTGGCGGCTGCTGTGGACTCCGCAGGTTTGTGTCTGAATGGCTAATTACAATTTTTGTCGTGCTTGTGTAAATCAATAGCACCACACCTATCTTTCACATGTACAGTGTGCTGTAGCCGGTGTTGCTTTGTTTAACAGGTGAGCAGGAGGAGTTTGTGTTGAAGCTTATCAACAGGCCATTGATTGTGCTGCGTGGGGAACACGGCTTTATTGGTTGCCGCAAACAAGGAACTGGAACACTTGATTCCAACCGCTCATCCTATGATGTCTTCCAGTTAGAGTACAACAGCAATGCTTACAGCCTCAGAGGTGAGTGATAGTGCTACTACAATTCATGAAGATTTACTAACAGTTTTGATAGGATGTAAATAATTACTTAGGGTCCTACGAAATCTGTTGACACTTTTTTTCCTGTTTTATTTTTCCCAAATTCGGATTTTCCATTTACATTTTTCTGGATTTTATTTTAATGTTTAAATGATAAACAATAAAATAAAATGTAAATTATTTTAATGTTTAAATGTATTCACAAATTCTGTTTTCTCATGTCATTGAAACCTGTATGACTTCTGTGGAGCATAAATGACAAAATTTTGAAGAATATTGGAGCCATTCAGTTTTTACTGAATGGAAAAAGAAAACTTTAAGAAAACTTTATTTTTTCATATATCTTTTCTAAAGATTTTTTTTCTTAAATACATTTTTAGGTCCCTGTTTAATTTTTTATTTTACATTTTTTAAGAATCTGTTTAATTTTTTCCCCTAATTTCTGTTATAATTTTTCTGGATTCCTTTTTTTTGTCTGGAATTTATTTTAATGTTTAAATTACATTTTTTGTAATCAAAAAGCCTATAATATCTGTTTTAAATTTTCCCAAATTCTGGGCCATTAAGATTTTAATCCTAGAAATGTTTTAAATATCTTTTCTAAGATACATAAATAAATTAATATAAATAAATAAATACTTTTTTAGGGCCCTATGAAATCTGTTTAGTTTTTTTATCCTTTTTTTCATTTTCGTGCAATCCAATTTAATGGTTTATTAAAATGTTAATAATCAAAATGCATGTGTAATCACGTAAATGTATAAAACTTTAACAACATAATGATTTATTAACATTTATTCAATAATACAGCCCTAAAAATGTTTTTTTCTCTCTCTCAGAAATTCTGTGTTGTCTGTTACTTTCTATTTCTCTCATTTCTCTGGTCAGACTCAGTGGGGAAGTACTGGACGGTGGAGGCAGATGGCTCTGTGATCAGCAGCAGTGACACACCTGTCTATTTCCTCTTTGAGTTCTGTGATTATAATAAAGTGGCCATTAAGACAAAGGAGGGCAAGTATCTTAAGGGAGACCATGCTGGGGTGCTCAAAGCCAGCGGTCAGGGGATTGCTGATGCAACATTGTGGGAATACTGAGAAACATTCAGCAGTCTACACACACAAACAAACATGTGTGTTCTCTAAACCTATACTTAAACATAACACATTCTCTACAGCATAAGCACATGATAACATACAGTCCATATCACACAACATACAAAAATATCTCAACATAATCTAATGGATCAAGGCACAAAAACACATTTGAATGTATAAGTATAAGCAAATGCACAAATTAGCTTAAACTTTAAAACTCATTAAATTAAATAGTTCAGACAAAATTATGAATTCTGGCATGATTTACTCATCCTCATATTATTGAAACCTGTACGACGTTTTTTCTGTGCCGCATAAAAGACAATATTTTGAAGAACACTGGGGTGCAAACCCCCAAAAAAGCATTGGACCCTTTTGATTCTCATTTTATGAACAAAAATACAATTGAAGTCAAAGGGAGCCAAAACTGTTTGGTTATCAGCGCTCTACAAAATATCTTCTTTTGTGTTCATCAGAAGAAAGAAATGGATACAGGTTTGGAACAACGTAAGGGAGAATAAATGATGACAGAATTTTCATTTTTGGCTGAACTGTCCCTTTAAGAGAAGCACAAGTTGATGGTGTACTGATAAAATATTTGTAAAAACTGGATAATTGTCACACAAACTGTTGATGTTCTTTGCTCAAACTCAAGATAGCAGTAACACTTTACAATAAGCTTTCATTTGTTAACATATAGTTAACATGAACTACAACACTTCTACAGTATTTATTAATCTTAGTTAGTTAATTTTAACATTTACTAATGCATTTTTAAAATCATAATATGTATGTATTAACATTAGTTAATGCACTGTGAACTAACAAACGAACAGTAACTGTAATAACTTTTTAATGACTAACATTAACATTGATTAATAAATGTTAAATAAACATTATTTCATGTTATTTAATACATCAACTAATGTTAATAAATGTGACCTTATGTAAAGTGTTACCAAGATAACTGTTTAATGGAATGAAATCTTGCAAAAATATGTTAACCAATTTAATGCACATCATGTAGGCTCATTCAAGTCACTGTCATTGCCTCTCAAATGCTTTCATGGCCTTATTTCGCTCCTTATACCTGTTTCAAGGAAATTTAGAATCTAAATGTGCTATTACATAATGGTCAATAATTTGCTTATGCAAAATGGGCATACAGCCGTGTCTCATAAGCCGAGCCTTCGGCCATAGGGTTTGTTTCTGCTCCCAAAAACATTTTTAGAGTGAACTGGCTTCTGTAATGAGGCCAGGTTTTAAATAGCTACACTGGAGAAAGATGCTTGTTCACATCAGAGAGATTCAGATTTCCTTACACGCACATACACAGGCACACAAAGTCATTTGTTTGTCAAATTGTTACTTGTGGGGTTTGTGGCTATTTTGGGTAACATGACTTGTATTCAGCATTATTCTGACTTCTGGAACAACAGTGTGTTTTAGCTTATTGATGATAACATGTTGATTTGCACTTTTTCGGCTAAAGCTTTTTCATGTGAATGTGTTGAAAGAAAAAGACAAAGTGTTTGTGCCTTCCTTAGTGGGATAATATCTCCTAAGGTGTGAAAATGCAGTTTTTTGAAATTCATTTTTGAAATTCTCATTATGTGCCATTTGCAACTGGACATGACAATGAAATAAACAGAAAATGTCATAAAGTAAAAAGTGTGCTTTCAGTTTTTCTAAGAGAAGCAGGTTCATCTCACGTAGTAGCCTAAGTTAACCGATGATAAAAAAATTTTTAACTAGAATTTGACATTTTCTAAGTAAATGTGAGTAGATTTTGTTTCTTCTTGCTGGCTCTTTGTCTCTCTTCTCTATTCCTTAAAGCTACAGTCCGTCACTTTTTTGAGTTCAAAATTTACAAAATGTATGTAATAAGCGAGTACACCATGAATCCATTTTCCAAACTATAAATTATGGATTTATAATAAGTGTTTATACTCGGACTATTTAGACTGGTTCGGGTAGGTACCGCTGCGGAGTAGCCTGGTACCTGCGTGATTCGCCATAGACATAAACAGAGAGAAGTAGCTCCGGCTACAATGTTCTTCCGCAAGACGCACGCACTTCTGTTTATTAACCGCTAGAGCGCCCAAAGTTACTTTAGCAGCTTTAACTATTTTCCTCTTAATTCTCTCCACCTCGACCTTGAACGCTTTCCAAGATTTTTTGCGCTGACAGTGTGGCTCTGAATGAAACCCAAGAAGACTGCACTACACACACACACACAACACACATAAGGATTTACTAATATCTAACAGATGTGACTATTCTATGTGGCAATAACAAAGAAATGTCTGCAGCTGCTTTCTGTGGGTTTTAGAGACTACAGCAACAACTGGAGAACAAATTCTATGATGGAGAGATTTCACTTCAAATTGTGTTGTAGATAAACAAAGAGAGATGAGCTGAGAATTTATTTTTCGCAATATGAAAATATCCAGAAAACAAATGCCTTGCATGGTTTATGATTTTATTAATGTGATAAACAAATATAGATCAAAATATATGAAAAATGAATTTGAAAGTATGAACTTTTTGGTTAAATAAAGTAAAATCTATGACCTTGTATTTTTGAAGTACGTGCCTTCCATGTGCACAGAATTGAGAACTTAAATTACATTTAATATATTTGCATTTACATGTCACAAAGGTTATATGTCAGTAACTATAAAGTTGGGTTAATAGTCCAATTGCACAAAGTTGAAACATTTAGTCACTTTACCTTTCGTTTATCATTTTATCTAATCATTTTACTAAATCTAGCAGAAAAGCATTTAAATAGTTGATAATAAATTTTAGATGCAGATATGTCGCACTCAACATGGGTTTTTTACAGAGCATTTCATATTTCCAAAAATGTATCAGTGTCAAACCCAGAAAGCCTAGATTAAAAATGTGAATGAAATGTGAATTAAACATACAGAAATGGACATGGTGTAACAAAATAAGAATTTTATGAAATTACATAATGTGTGTACGAGTGAATCTGTTATGAAGAACATGCACATTATTTCCAGCGGTTGATCCTGCGCAACTGTATGTATGCAAACGTCATGCACACCAGTATAATGCCCAGAAGAGCCACCTGGTTCTGCCAGAAGCCCCACACACTGTAGTCGATCCCCTGAGACTGCAGATACATCTCTCCTGTTAGTCTGACCATGAGAAAGAAATCAAATACTGGCAAGTCAAAAACGTAATTGATGAATGGCTCAAAGAATATATTTTGTGTGAGGGGTGGAAATCTTTTGTAGCACGTCTGTACTAATCAATTTAATGCATGTCTTCTGAATAAAAGTATTGAAGAAAAAATCGAATCTAACTGACCCCAAGCTTTTGAACGGTAGTGTGTGTGTCTGTCATGATGCAAGAGGTCGAGTTATAAAATGTGTGACCTTAACTGAACTGTGATTACACTTTATCTACAGTTTGAGTAACTTACGTCGCATTGCCACTGTAGAAGACCTGCCCTTTCATTTCATTTATAGTCACAGCCTACAAAAGAACAAAACACAATAATCAGCACTTTTTAAACAATCTGATAAAGATGTATTAAAAAAACCATATGATGCACTCTTTGAATTTAACAACATTTTTTGCATTGCATTCTTGTCCTCCTCCTTACATCTAGTCCATATTTGAAGATGCTGGCCCACTTGAGCCAGGACAGCCAGTTGAGCATGGAGTTGAGATTCACCAGGAACCCTCCAAACACCTGCAACAAAGACACCGAAAGAAAGAGCGAATAAGAAAGAGAGAATGGTACAAGAAAGGAACTAGAACATACTGGTGATATTAGTGCGTATGTTTGAATTCTGACCATCATGAAGACAAAAGGCAAGGCAATGAGGACGTTGGCCATGGCGAATGTGCTCACGCTGGCACTGACAAGGAAGGCCAAGCTGACTCCTGCCAGACTGACCATGGACATGGTCAATGCAAAACACAGGAAGGTCGGGAATGATGGATTCAACCCTGTTCACAAATATATACAGTATGTACACTTACTGTGCATATTCATTTTATTTAGTATAGAATACATGCTACTGATAGTTTTAAATGATGTGCCACATGTTTAGCATACTAATAATGTATTATGTGTGCTGCTAACCCATCATATAGTAAGAAATGCTGGAGAAGATGAAAATCGGCACAATGCGATTTGGTAACAGATCCACAAACACCTTGGACAGGAAATACACAGATGTACGGTAATATCCCCCAGAGTTCTCGTGCCTAAAACACACGCATATAAACAGACTTACTTGGTTTTGTAAAAGAAAAATGAATGAAAGGGAGTTTATTTTCATACATACAGCATCTGGACACATAATGTTGTTACTGTTAACCAAAACTAAAGCTAAAACTACGAAAAATCCTTTTTTGTTAGTTGAAATAAATCTGAAATCAACAAACTTTGCAACAAACTGAAGTAAAATAAGTTTAAGTACTAAAACTACTGATACTGAAATAAAAAATAAATTAAAGCTAAATATTAAAAATCAATACAAATAAGCACATAACAAAGTTAATAAAAACTCAAATTAAAATAAAAAATATATATATTTTTAAATATAAAAATAAAAGCTAAAAGCAAAAAATATTTATAAATACTATAATATTACATAAATAATATTAAAATAACACTTAGAGATAAACACACTTAAAAGCATAACTGTATGAACTGTAAAACTGCTTTTAAACCATCTGTATTGAATGAAGTGCTATAAAAACAAGCGTGACTTGTCTTGACATACCGTAATTGCTAATATTATACTCACACAAAGATTGCTCTTTCATTAATGAAGAGTTCAACTGCTGATAGGTTGCCAAACACCATGTTGATGATGAGAAAGAAGAATGCTCCAATCCTGCACACACACACACACACACACACACACACACACACACATACTTGTTTTTGCTACATTGTGAGGAGTCTTGACTAGGAGGTTACATGTGGGGACAGCAATTTCTAAATACACACACACACACACACACACACACAAATTGTAATGAAGAATGGATGGATTGATGGATGGATGCATGGATCTGTCAGTACCTGTTCTGCAAGGCTTCAGGAAGAGTTAAAGGCATCTGGTAGTAGATGAGTCCAATCAGCAGAGCACAGAGAATGTTCATTGCCATCTGAGCATATGAGGTCTGAGGATTCCTGACAACGTTCAGCATTGTCCTCCAGCATACCACCTTTAACTGCATACAAACACACATGCATGATTTCATGTAAGTACACACATATACATACACACAAAAAAACGAAGACAAGGTTTATGGCTCACTGCTCATTTCACCCATAGCTGACCTGATAACAGATATGAGCTAAAGTTGAACAGCAGGTCAATATTGTACTGGTTAATCATTTACTGAACACACATGCAAAAATATTTTTTTCTTATGAAACAAACCTGGTAGAAAAATGATGTGGCATAGGATGCTGCCTTGCTCTTGGCTTCAGATGAGGGATCTGATGGTTCAGTGATACATTTCAACTCCTCTTTGACAGCATCACAGTAGTGAGACTCCCTGTAAATATCAGCCAATGACTTCTCTAAGGAACAGAGAGAAACTTTTGAACCATGTGACTGAACAATACCACGAAACATTTACTACTTTATGTAAGTCGATGCCTTAGTTTAATTTCTATGTGTTCATATTTGCATGTCTGTGAATGTGTATCACCTGTTGGCATTGAAGAAAGGGCCTCCCCATTTGTTATGTCCAGAAAGAAATCTGCAGGGTTGTTGAAAGCCTCACATGTGTAACCTTATCAACAGAGGAGAAAATAATAATGAATATGAATAATTAATTTAATAATGTCTAAAAACAAGACAGATAATTAAATATTCTTTTTCTATTATATAGCAAGAAAATGTAGTGAAGATACTAGCCACTGACTGAATATTTTATGTAATACTGTAGTATTTTATGTTTGCAGAAGCAAAAAGGCTACTCATGTGTTGTTTTGATTTTATTTAACTCTGGCAACCCCGGCGCCTTTTTTTTATAATGCATTATGTGAACTAAATGTTAAATGTTGTTTAGTGTAGCAAATAATAGAAAATTGTTTCTTTGTTGTTGAACAAAAATTAAAATAATATAAATAAATAAATACTATATATGCTGTATTACTATATTTATACCACAGTGTTTATATGGTATTTCAAAGAATACCATCTTTCTAGTGTCCAAAAACAGTGATGTTTTTGTAAGTTGGATGAGATCACTCAGATATAAAGTTTTCCTTTCATTCATATTCATATCACCAGCATATCAAATATATGTATATATTTTACCCAGACTCTGGAAATAGTCCATGGCTTTGCCGGCAGCGCCAGCATAAACGGTTTCTCCCTTATGGAGCAGTGTCAGGTGATCAAAGAGCCTGAAGATTGAGTAACGTGGCTGGTGGATAGAGAAAATGATAGTTCTACCACCCCGTGACAACCTGAATGACCAGAAGAGAGAAAGAGGACAGTTGAAGCGATAAGACAAACTGACATGAACTTAAAGGAATACTCCACCCCAAAATGAAAATGTTGTCATTAATCACTTACCCCCATGTCGTTCCAAACCCGTTAAATCTTCGTTCGTCTTCGGAACACAATTTAAGATATTTTGGATGAAAACCGGGAGGCTTGTGACTGTCCAATTGACTGCCAAGTAAATTACTCTGTCAAGGTCCAGAAAAGTATGAAAGACATGTCGTCAGAATAGTCCGTCTGCCATCACTGGTTCAACCGTAACGTTATGAAGCGATGAGAATACTTTTTGTGTGCGAAGAAAACAAAAATAATGACTTTATTGTTGACAGTGTCTGTCAACAATAAAGTTGTTATTTTTGTTTTCTTTGCATACAAAAAGTATTCTCGTCGCTTCATAGCGTTACGGTTGAACCACTGATGGCAGACGGACTATTCTGACGACATGTCTTTCATACTTTTCTGGACCTTGACATTGTAATTTACTTGGCAGTCAATGGGACAGTCACAAGCCTCCCGGTTTTCATCCAAAATATTTTAAATTGTGTTCCGAAGACGAACAAAGCTTTAATGGGTTTGGAACGACATGGGGGTAAGTGATTAATGACAACATTTTCATTTTGGGGGTGGAGTATCCCTTTAAAGATTTCAAGTGGTTACCAAACAAGCAGGTCATGTAGGCACTATATGAGGTACTTAATAAGCTGGGCGATGGAGGGTTATTAAAATAAGTTTGTACCTGTGTAAGAGAGCAATGATGCTGTTAGCTGTATTGGAGTCAAGGCCTGTGGTCGGTTCATCCAGGAACAGAAGAGTAGGAGATGTAATGAGCTCCATACCAATGCTACAGCGCTTTCTTTCTCCTCCTGATACACCTCTTATAAACTCTGTACCAATCTTGAAGAAAGATATATCTATTTAACACATTTCGATTAGTGCTGTCAATCAATAACAAAAAGTTTTTTTTGCATAACATTCAAATTTGTAATCATAAATACAGTTTTACATTGAATCTCCAAATTAATGTAAAAACTATATACAGAAGACAGTATATTTTACATTTTTGTTTAAAAGCATCTATATATAAGTACTATGTATAATGGCATGGAATTATGTACCAATGTCTGAGGATACAATGCGTAAATATAGCCATTCAACATTACAGTAAAACTTTATTATTTCTGTTTCTATCAATATAACTATAAGTTTATTTTGCACATTAATTTTCATAATAAATAAGAAAATTACTAGTCAAAACTTTTGGTAATATTTTGATATTTTTTATGTATTAAACAGAAAATATTAATCACAGAAATTAACATGTTACTGTATTTTTGACAGCCTTTATTTAAATGACATGTACCGTATTTCATTTTTAGGTCAAAAGATTTTTGAATTATTAATACCATGAATACCTTGTCATAAAAATACCTTTATAAAAGATATTTGTAACCTTGTGACTAATTTTTCTGAACAGACATTTTTCAATTATAAATAATTTTAATAATTGATCATTTTAAAACAAAAATGTATTACTTCACTACTCCTTATTCATTTTAAAACAATTAAAACTAAATTAAAAACAAGACTATACCAAATTAATAACTTTTTTCCTTTTCTCCTGCAATCTCGGTACAGTTACATTTTTGAGTATATGCCCCACAAAAATTATCAAAATGAATGAGTGGTTTATTCAAGACAATGTTTATATAAATAGTTTTTTTTAAACTGCATTAAAAGAGCCGGACCTAAAAAGCATCAGTAGCATTTGGGACTAACCTTGGTGTCTGCGCAGTCCTCTAATCCCAGCTCCTGAATGATGCTCTTCACTTTTTTATCCTTATCAGCAGTGGAATACTGTTTCCTAGGCAACCGCAGATTTCCAGAGAATAAAAGATTCTCCCGCACAGTCAGAGTGCCCATCAGGATATCATCCTACAGAAGGACACAGACAGACAGACACAGATCAAAGAAAATGTCAAGAATTAAACCAACTAAATGAATGTGTTTGATTTTGAGCTAAGCAAAAGGCTCTTGAACAGGAGACAAAAATAACTCTATTCCACAATAATCTTCCCTGCATTAACACTTACATGTGCATCACAACAGAGAAGAATATTCCTTTATCCTCACGACAGACATACTACTGATTGTAAAATTCTGCATTCTCACCTGTACGACATAGGCAGACATGAGACGGAGGTCAGAGGTCACGACCTTGTTGTCAACCAGAACTTGACCTGAACGCAAACCGTGAGGATCCTTCCTTCCAGCGATCACATCTAACAGCCTTCACACAACAAAAGTAAAGGTTAGAAATTGAGTGTAGTTGCCAGCTCTTCATCAGTTGTAACCTTTCAGTCTGTTGATTCTGTGAGCGTCTTACGATGTTTTGCCGCTTCCTGTTGCTCCCATGATTGCATTCAGGCCGGTTTTCATGATTCCACTAAAACGGGAAATAGCAAAACAGTCAAAACAGCAAAACAGTGCACTGTAAAAATGTTTATCAAATAACCTAAAAATGTGCTCTATGTGGCAACATCTAAATTAAATCAATTGTATTTTTAATATGCCTGAACCGTTAAGAAAGAAAGAAAGAAAGAAAGAAAGAAAGATACTAACATACACAAAAACTATGGAGAATTACAATTTCAGTTCTTCTTTTTTATTTTAATCTCTAAACATCTAAACTCTGAACAAATATTTTAGCATTAGGTCACAAAACATTTCTTTTCCAGATATAAAAAACACTAAAACACATAGAAGGACAGTGATATACACACGCATATAAAATGGATCTGGGTTGCTTATCTTAAAGATAAGTGTTATCTGTATCAAAATGACGTGAACTCAAATTTGACTGCATATAGCAGTGTGTTTATGTGCTGTAGAAACAGTTAGAGCAGATTCTTCATAAGAACTGACTTCAGTTCTTATGAAGAATCTGCTCTAACTGTTTCTACAGCACATAAACACACACTCGGAGACACTAACCTGACATTTTTTAGGATTTCTCGCTCAGGACCTCTCTTGCGGCACGGTCCACGGCTTTCTCTAATGCAATATTGAATATTCTGGTATGTCAGAGTTGGGCCCGGCACCTTTACACACACCTTTGTGCCATCGCTTTCCCCGGCAGGCAACATTTTTAACTCACTCACATCCATGGAGCCAGAGAGACTGAAGCAGAGAAGAGGAGAGAAAAAGTGACAAGCTTCCAGGTGGAATGAACATTTAAGAGTCTATTGATGCTCCACCCTTTCAGGACCTTATACTCCAGACGTGAATTACCCATATAACCAGAGGTCACTGCGCGCCTCCTGTCAAAGTCCTCACACGCCCCAGTTCTACGTAACACTTGCTGCTATGCAACTCCTGCACTTATGAAACAACATATAACATAGTTCAAAATATGTTAAATGTTTATACGTAATAGGAAAAATGTCACTAATTTTAATGTTAATGGTTTTCTAGCAACATAACATTTTGACTATCTACATGTTTAAAACTTTTTGTGAAATGCAATCAAAACCTCCTTAAATATCCTTTTTTCAACGTCAGTATACAATTCAGTATAGCTCATTGATGAGTTTAATTGAACTAAGACTACTATATCATATTTAAATTTCTAAATTATCCACAATCTACTACATGCCTTCTGTCATGTGATTGATAGTTTGTGGCACACATGTCTATTTGTTGTGAAATATTTACTTATTTGTTAACAATAAACATTAACTGGACTGAAACAACTTGATTATCAATAATTTTTTTATTTATATATAAATAAAATATAATATTTATTTCCCTTTTAACATTTATATCCAGAGGCGGACAATAGTGAAGTATTTTTACTCTGCTTTAAAAGTGGATTTTTACTTTATCAGAGTGTTTATCTTTAGAAAACTTTTACTTCACAACATTCCAAAGCATAATATTGTACTTTTTAATTTAATACTTAATTACATTAGAAATCTAGTACTTTCTTACTTTTACTCAAGTAAGTTTTACTTGAGTACAAGAAAGTACTACATTTGTAATGTTAAGTAGCCTATTAAAGGTAAAAAAACAACAACAACAACAACTTTTATTTATGAAATGTAGTGCAGTAAAAAGTATGACATTATGCTTTGGAATGAAGTGAAGTAAAAGTTTTCCAAAGAAAAACACTGATAAAGTACAGATACTTTTTAATTTACTTGAGTAAAGTAAAAATACTTCACTTCTGTCCAGATCTGTTTATATCTTTAATCATCATTGTATTGCATCGCATTAGGCCTATGTTTTGCCCCCAACAATAACATCGACAGAGATTATGTTATACAGATCTCATCAGAATTTCATCTTACTTTTATTTTTATCTGCAACTACATCAAGTTGCATATGTTTGCTCAGTTTGGGCCTCTGAATAAAATCAAGTGTGAACCTCATATTCTCCATCATACAATACTATCCATAAAAGTGTGATGTATCAAACATTTAAGTTTAATTTAAAAATGTGTGACTATTATTTCATACGTCAGTTTTTACAGGATTAAATAAAAGCGTAGAGTGACCCTATCATGTTTTTTTAGAGGGAATGATCTAGTCTTGTGTTTATACATAAAAAGAGAGGTGTTTTAAAATATGCCACCGTGAAATTGTATTTTCTCTGAATTCGTTTGCTACCTGTCAAGACGTCTGTGACTTTAAATGGCTTTAGTGCTGAAAGATGCATTGGTGTACTTGTGTAATGACGCCCTCTGTAGGCCAAAGAAGGTCATTGCAACAGGCTGTATAAATTATAATCAAAATCCCTTCTTTGTTTAACAGACGCCTACTGTAATGAACAGTAGAGCAACAGGAAAATATTTTGTAAAGGATACTCGCTGCATGAATAGGGACTCATTATGGACTTGCGCAATCTTGCGTTCCCATTCAGGCTACTTGAGGCTCAAGTATTTGGTGTGGCTACTGGAGCGGCAGTTCACATAAACAGGGGCGGTGTCTTCATTCATTGTCGCTCCGTGACGGATGACAGACAGTTGACGCATCTAATGAACAGTTGAGCCGTTGACAACCAACCACGCCCCCTGCGTTTCTGTAGCCAATCGGCGTCGTGCATAATTCAAGAGGGCGGGGTTTGAGTCTCGGCAACGTTAAGTTGTTTTCTTCGACTGTGTGGCGGAGAAGTGCAAGCACCGTTCGCGATGCAGACGTAAACTAACAGCTGTCGATGAGGCCGCCGCCGACAATCGACCACGGCCGGGTTTAATCACCACGGATAACTTTTTAAGCTAACGTTAGAACATTACAGCAACGGTTTAAGTGTTTTTGTAGCCATGGAGGAGAAGAAAAAGGAGGAGGGGGAAGCGGAGATTCAGGAACACGGACCCGAGCACTGGTTCTCCAAATGGGAGCGGCAGTGCCTAGCCGAGGCCGAGCAAGAGGAACCGAGCGAGGAGGAGACCGAGCAGAGCCAACAAAAACTCTGGCATCTCTTCCAGAACTCCGCCACCGCCGTCGCACAACTGTATAAAGGTGCGAAATATGTAATAAAAAGTCACTGAGAGCTAGCCTTAGCTGGCTAGCTGACACTGCCAAACAAAGGACACTAACGCATAAGCTCAACGGATAGCCACCAAACTAAATCTAATGCGACCTAATTAAGATGCCGAGGAGCTGTTTTACAATAAAGTACATATTTAGGGCTCAATTAAGATTATTTCGGCCCCTTATTTGACTGTTTTGAAGGTCGGTGGCGTTTACAGATTAGCATTGATTGCTAAGTGGCAGACGAGCAGCGTAAACTGAGACACAGATCAGTTTCTGTGAGGACACTATCCAGAAATGTCACCGGTTACCCGTCTTTATTTATTGATAAAACTAGTTACAGTACATTTAAACGTTTTTCACGATATTTTAAGGGTGTATAAAGCGTCACCCAGCTGGTTGTCTACCAGCAAAACAAAATGGCGAAGTGCAGGGAGGAGTTCATCTGATGAAAATAACTCGATTTGTGATCGAAAACTCCTCTGTTATGAACTCCGACGTCGTGTATGTTGAGAAAAAGATCTAGGAATACAAACTATATGAACTGATGAAAACGTGTGATTATTCTTTAACAATAATAATACTATGCGAAACAAAATGGCGAAGGCAGGATTAGCAGGCTAAGTTTAAAGATTGTGAGTTGTTGTGCTAGAGTTTGTTTTGTTCATATTTGTTATTAAATAGATAAAACACTATACAACCGGTTTAATTTGCGAGTACACGTATTCATACACAAAGTTGTGGTTTGGACGACCCGGTACAATCAGATACACTAAAGATACACTAAAGCTACTCAACAAAATGGCGTAGAGTCATCTTGCTACATATCAAATTTAGACGTCGTGTAATTAATGGCTGTGTCTCAAAACATAGAGAGCTGCTTATGTAGACCACACTTATGGTCATCATAGACGCTTTTAGAACATTCCAAGCGCGCTTATGCTGCCCAAAAGTGCTGTTTAAAGTAGGTAGCTCACTATCTCATGACACACAGCCGGTGTGAGAGGCTGTTAAGGTACTAAATATAAAGCTGATGTTGGTTTAGTTGTCTTGGGTGTTTTCTTGACCGACTTTAAACACAGTGGCTAAACGTATATGTCTCATTAAGACGACAAATTATGTATCTACACTTGCAATGTAAACATTTCCTGTCTGTTCACTCCCTCAGATAGAGTATGTCAACAACAGGGGCTTTCCTTATGGGTTCCCTTTCAAAATGCTGCAACTGCTGTCACTAACCTATACAAAGGTAAGCTGAGAATTTTTTAACACTGTTGCATTTTAGGTGACAGTTTGTGGTTCGTTGTTAATTGGACTGTAGTTTACTGTAATCATTTTGTTTTGTTTGTGAACATATTGCTGTTTTCAAATGAGTCTTTTTATCACACTCATCTTTCGTTCACTTAAAGTCATTCCTGCTTTTAAACACAACAAGCCTATTCACATTAAGGCCCTGTCCACACGGAGACGTGTTTAGCTGTATACACATACATTTTGTATCGTGTAGGCGTTTCGTCCACACGGATCCGGCGTTTTGGGTGAGTGAAACCGATATTTTTTTGAAACTGGGTCCCAGAGTGGATAAATCTGATAACGCTGCAGCGTTTTTGTGTGGACAGCCAATCCGTATATTTTCTGAAACGATGACGTCATCAGCCCACGTCTCGCCCCTAGTCAGACACCGCTACGTAACAGCAACAAAAACAAACACTGAATGGTTGACTTTTTATTAACTAACATAACACAGATTAATAAATGTATTGTTCCATGTTCGTTTGTATACCGCGTGCAAGGTTTATGTGCATAGTCCAAGTCGTCTTCTCTGTTTTTAGTGTATCTGTGGCAGAATTAAGGGGCGGTCACACTGCACTTTTCGTTCCATTGACTTCCATTCATACGCATGCGAATGTGTAAGACCGGAAACGCAAGCTCATGTGAAAAGTGTTGCTGCGTTCCAAAGTTCAAGTCTGGTGAACTCTGACCTGCGAATTCGCATCACGTGAAGACGTGCGATCAGTAGAAGATCGATACGTCACTGCGTGACCTCTCTGTGCAGAAATTCAAAAATGGAGGAAGCGCTAATTTTAGCCGTAGTGCAGCATCCTATTTTATATAATACATCTTTAAACGATTATAAAAATCTAATTAAAAAAAGAAGCTGCATGGTTCAGGAACAGGAACAATGTCAACAATTCTGTGTTTTTCTGTCAATATGGGGTGCTGTGTGTACATTGAGGAAAACAAATGATTTTAAACTTAAATGATTTTAGCAAATGTTTGCAATATAACAGAGTGAAAAATTTAAGGGGGTCTGAATACTTTCCGTACCCACTGTGTGTGTGTGTATATATATATATATATAGAGAGAGAGAGTACAATATAATTACTATACATAAGTGTATTATTATTAAATTACTTAATGTTGTTCGTTATTTTATATTTATATTTTCAGAATCATTTTTAAATTAATTTTGCACACCTCAAGAACTTATAAAACTTAAAGCACATCACTTAAAAATGTAATATATATGTACAGTCAAACCAAATTTGTTCAGACACCTTGAACATTTCATTCATTAATACAGTTTATTCACTATAGTTTAAATAATGGTAATAAAATGACAGAGCCGAAAGTACTCCTTGTGGCGATTCTCATCCAGCCGAAGCTCCTGAATTAAAGAATGGAACTCTCCCCGCTCATTCCGAGTCTGTAGAATAGAGTGAACCCACAGCCTTCTCCTTTCCAGACGCTTTCTACGCCATCACAAAAGACACAGTACTAGCACATCGGAATCCATGTTGTGATAACTGAGGGGAAACCTTGGCGCGTGATGTCATATCCTGCTCCTGCCCATATTCGCAACTGCGTCTGAAAACATTTTGCACGTTCAAAGTCTAGTGTGACCGCCCCTTTACAGCGCCACATACGGATCTGGCAT